CCAAAATTAGAGAATTAAAGAAATATCAACATGAAATGAACAAACCTAAGAGAGGTCTACCCAAGGTACATATATACCAAGTATCAAAGCATTTAGGCTTGTAGTTTTCAAGAAGAAGTCGAAAAAGTAAAACATTGACACGGACGACGACGACGGACGACGGACAATCACTCATATGATAAGCTCCGCTCGACAAAGTCGACAGCGGAGCTAAATATTCACCAAAATTAGAGAATTGAAGATATCATAATGAAATGAACAAATCTGAGAGAGGTCTACCCAAGGTACATATACACCAAGTATCAAAGCAATCAGGCTTGTAATTTTCAAGAAGAAGTCGAAAAAGTAAAACATTGACAGGGACGACGATGGACAATCACTCATATGATAAGCTCTGCTCGACAAAGTCGACAGCGGAGCTAAAAAAACTCAATTGTTATGAATCTAAGAGAAAAATCTTTTGTAGTAAATTACCCAGGTGTCAAGTGTCAAGATGCTACTGAAGTAGTATCAAAGCTATCATAAAGTGCAAATAAAATGGCCTGATACTAAGATCTTACCTCAATTTTCCACTTGCGTCCATTTTCTTGCCAGGCTATTCTTTCCCCCTCTGGGAATCTACAACTTACAATAGCCAAGGATTGAATGTAAAGCAAGGAATACATGCATTTGACTATGCATAAATATTGATCTGAAAAAAAAAATCACAAACACCTCAACATCAAAAGAATATGATTTCAACGTGTGTGTAGGTGTGGTCTATTTCGGTAAGAGCAGGTTTTGACTGTAATGTTTCAACTGTGAAAACACAGCAACTTTAAAATATACACTTCTAATAAAGTTACAACAAATTACCTTTTCGTAAGGGCTGTGGCAATGAAAGTACAAACTGAAGTAACATAGCTATCGCATCTTGATATAATAGAGGCACATCTTTCTTATCAACTGTTACACTAATTATATAAAAACAAAAGATTTCACGTCAATAATACCAAATATAATATGGAAGTGATGAAATATTATAACATTATTATACATCTCTCACCGCAACGCTATGAGTTACAGCGTGCCGTAATTTTGCGATATTTTACAGAGTATTTTCATCCTACCATAAAGGAAATACAAATTTCAAATACGCGAGTAAGCGTCCTCTAATAATAAAAACAAACATAGCTGCCACCAGGGTTTGACTGAACTCCATACAAAAAAGTTCACTAAATCTGTTCTAAACTTTTTGGATTTCGGCATTCCTATGATGTATCCTTGGAAGGAAAAGATGTTATAATAATAAGGTTATTACAAGAATACCTCAAAGTATGCACTCAGACAGTACGCTGTTGCTGCGCGTCGGTCAATACTCTCGCCGTACTGTCTTCCTGCATACTTTAAGCTATTCTCGTAATAACCTCATATTACAATCAAATTTGTGAAATAGTGATCCGATAGTGATCATTGTTTTAGCACAATTTTTGCAGATTCACCTTTTCTCAGAGATAAAAAATAATTAGCATTCCAATTATGAACAATTTTTAATTTTCTCAATTTAAACTTTGATTTTGATCAACTCAAATAAATCTGTTATAGTTGCAACTATACTATCTCATTATATTTTGGACAAATATTATGTCCAAAGTTGATATTCCATTAAAAACAAAATAATCAAACCATCATATAAAGACCACCTGTCTATAAAGACCACCCGTCTACAAAGACCACCCGTCTATTAAAGACCACCTGTCTATAAAGAAAACCTGTCTATAAAGACCACCTGTCTATTAAAGACCACCTGTTTATTAAAAACCACCTGTCTATAAAGACCACCTGTCTATAAAAGACCACCTGTCTATTAAAGACCACTTGTCTATAAAGACCACCTGTCTATAAAGACCACCTGTCTATTAAAGACCACCTGTCTATAAAGACCACCTGTCTATAAAGACCACTTGTCTATTAAAGATCACCTGTCTATAAAGACCACCTGTCTATAAAGACCACCTGTCTATAAAGACCACCTGTCCATAAAGACTATTTTAACAAAGTCCCTTAGATGGTCACTATACACAGGTTTGTCTGAATCATCATCAATGAACATTTTACTATTGATCACTGCAGACATAATGCAGCTTTAGGTACTTATTATATGGTAATATTCTCACCTTTTCTTCTCACTGTCCTTGTATATCTGTGTAAGACGGGACCATCTTGTTAATAATGGTAACTTGACAACTGTTGTACAGTGCATACTTAAAACATCAAGAAGAGCACCTGAGAAACAAAAGTATAATGACATACAATATACATTCATTCATGAAATCAAACTTGAGACAAAAATAACAATATTCACCTGCAACCTGATATATGTATTAGGAAGTTTTGAAAGTACATGAAGAAGAATTGGAAGCAGTTAATACAGTTTCCAGTTCATAATAAACACACGGTTAAAAATGAATGGATTAAAAACCCAAGTTATCTTTATGCAAATGAAATTGCTCTAAAATAATCATTTACGTCAATTTAAAGTCTAATCACTAGGGAAAGTGATGGAAAAAAATGAGTAAAAAAAATGAGTGCACATCACTTTAAGATACTTACCAATGCATGATCGCTTAGTAATGAACAGTTCGTTGAAACCAGGGTACCTCCTCTTCTAACCAGTTCTAATTCTAAATTGGTTCTAAATAAGACAACAATCTGTTTACAACCAACTCAAAGACTAATGATCAGCACTCACCAGCATATTTTAATAAATTG